TGGTCAATGTGCATATTAAATCAATATGTAGTTCCAGTCGGTACAGACTGTACAAAATTATGATTTAATTGAATCAACTAATTTCTTTATGGTCTAAAAAAGTCTCTTGACTAACTAGAAGGAATTTTAATATAGGATATGTGTTTGTCCTTTGCTTTGTAAAGCACCATGTTTGAGTTAATTTATGAAGTACCATAAATTGTACAGTAATTAATCTTGCTGCAAACCTTATACTTCATTTATAAATACAGCAATATATCCTAAGACTGACGGAGCAATTTGCGGCTAGGTAATTTCAAGTTTGGATTTATTAATTATATATCACCTTATACTAATAACAAGCCTTAGTTTAATTTTGGAAATGTAATGTTCCTCATTATAAAGGAGTGCTCATCTTCCCTTTGGTCCACAACTATTAGACGTTTAGGAGGTTATTAGTATTCATGAGCTACCTCATTGCAAAGGGGTGCCATAGGGGCGAGGAATTGGATCGTGATTCTGCATTTAAAGAGAGCTCGCTGGCTTCTCTTGAAAAATTGAAGTTACTGCAAATGTGTGGAAAGAACTGACATTAAACTATTTTCTGTACGGCAAGGAATACAGGGGATTATTTATTTACTCATTTTTTGCTTCATTGGAAAAATGGATGGAGTAAAAATGAGTGCTCTTGGAAATAAACACCTGAAATATATTTTCATATATCATCAGTAAGTCCAAGAAAATGAAGGGAATTCTGTAATTTTAGCCATGGCTGAGCACTTCAGATTTTTTTCCCTAAGAGGATATACTTCCAGATACCATATAGGTGAGTTTATGAACAAAGTTTGTTCTAGCTTCCTGTGTCTTACTGTTTTTCTTTTTCAGGTGACATGTACTATTGGCAGGTATTGTATTAGAGTATAGTGTTATTGTATTAGGTATAGTGTTAGAGAAACACTGAGTTTATATCTATATATTAATTTTCTCAATCCAAATAATTTAGGCAGTATAATTGTATGCATCCTGAACATATGCATTGGACATCTGCATGTAGAAAAAGATGCAAAGATTTAATACGTGTAATTGGCTTTGTTTCAGTTCTATATAGTTGTGTATGCCATAGTTTAATGTAAGGAAGTATAATCCTCAGTGTCCTCATACAGTGTTCATTTTCTAGAATTATTTCAGGGTTAATTTTTCTGGCAGCTTGTAACTCAAACTATTATTTCATTTAGAAATAAATGGAGTAAACTGATAAATATGTTACTCTTAGTTATCCTGCTACTGAAACCTGTATTTATTTATTTATTCTGTTCAGTAGGTAAGGTTTGAATAGTTAAGTAAGGTTTGAATCAAGTATATAACTTAATAATTTACCAATTTTAGCCACAGGCTGGCAAAAACTTGTGTCTGCTTTTAAATGAATATGTCAATAATCCCAGAAAGTCCAGTAAAGGAAAATGAAATTTTAGGTATGCTGCTATCAGAAGGGTTGATTGCAAAAGGACATATGGAAATTCAAGCAGGTCTTTTGCTTCTTTGCACTTCATAAATTGAACTCTAAGCATATTGATGAAAGTCACAGTGTGAGCTAGGATCTATTTGTCCAAGTGGCAGCCAGTGGTGGAATGGAAAAATATTGTCTTCTAAGGAGACTCAGTGAGATGGTATAAGAAGACTGAAGTTTAAATGTCCGTTCTTTTGATACTGTTCCCATTAATGTCAAATAATAAACTAGCCCAGGAATGCAAAGGAATCTTAATGTGTGTGCTTAGTTATGACAAGGGGAGGTATTGGGCAGCTGTAGGATTTGATGCTTGGTCCTATTCCATTAAGCCTCAGCCCTTTCACACAGAATGAATATGGAAATTTATGCAGTCTTTAAAACAGTAATTTATCTTTTATTCAGAAAATATTTGTAGTCCTTGATTTAGGGAATTAATACATCAAAAATGGGATTTTCGTAAAGTTACAGTGCTATCAAGTCTCATTTCTCAGTCGATGTACATCGTTTTCTCCTAAACTCTTATTAAATAATGTGAGATTGGGACATTTCAGCTCTGTTGTGCAAGAGAGTGAAGATGGCATAAAAATATCATAAGATTAGCATTTATTATATTCACTTGAAACACTTGAAATTCAGTAGAGCAAAGTCAATAGTATGATAAGCAATTATTCCTTAAATTACATGGCAGATTTTATAGCCCATTAAATTTTATTGCTGTAAATGATACGTTTATGAATTCATATATCAGCAAAATACGTGTCAGTACAGCTCAAATGCCAACAGATGCTCTCAAAAGGAGTATTTTCAGTTTCTTCCCTACTGATGCATAAACTCAAGCGTTCCAGAACTGACAACAACTCCATGGCTCAAAATGGGAACAAAATGAATATGGAAAGTTTTGAGTAGGGAGCAGTGCAGAAATAGTCACCAAAATCCAACTCTGAGCACTGGTGGAAAGGAATTATCCATGTGGGAAGGAATTATCCGTGTCTAATCAAAGTAGGAAGTGGGACCCCTGAAAATGAGGTCTGTTGCCTTCCAGCACCCTACAAACACCAGCGTGGGGCCTTGTTTCCTCAGCAGAGGAGGAAAAGGGACTCAGCATCCAAAAATGGCTGATGTAGGAATGGTGTTGGCATGTCCTGTTAGACTGAATTAGGGAGCAAGGTTCCCATTTGGGTACAGGGATTGTGGGACACCACTCTGAGGTATTGCTGCAGGCTGCCTGTGTATTCAGTATTATCACACTCTACATTTGTTCTCTAGTTTTAAGGTTTTCTGATAAAAACCATGTCAGTAACATCACTTCTTCTTAAAGAGAAAATGTTTCCTAAGATCCTCTGGCCATAGCCAGGATTTTGTGCTAGAGCTATGGACTAGTACCCAGCCCCCAAATTAAGGAAGACAAACTTCACTAGATTGTAGAAAAATATTTTTATCAGAAGTTTCAGCGTGAGTTTTGTGATGTTCATCACTGCTCTTTTGAATTAATTTGCTATTTGAAGAATAATGACTCCTATGTTCTTAGAGCATGGTCAATCCCAATTCATATTTTTTTCATGTTATCGATGTTTGTGAAGAGGTAAAGAAAGAAGTTTGTGTTCCTTGAAACAGAAGTAGCTGCTGGGTTAGGTATTTTGTAAAGTTGAGGTTATTGCAGTCTGTAAACAACAAAAAACGTAAACCTTATTTAGTGATCATTGCAACTATAAAACCCAGCAGTATATGTATCCTATGAAGTAAACACCTGTATTATATTAGGGACATGATTTATATTAAAACCAAGAAATTAATAATTATCTCCCTTAAGAAAATCTGTCTCTATTTTGAACATGAGAAATACTTTAGGGCTTTTTTCTTTCTCCATTTGATACTATTTTTAAGTGAACAAAACTCATTTGCCTTACACAAAAACATTTCCTTGGTACTTGCATACTTACAAGAGGTGGTCTTTTTGTGAGGTTGTTTTGAAGAGACCACAAAGTGCAGTTAAAATTCTTCCTAGAATCACCAAACATGTATGTCTCTATGTTAGTGGTAGCTGGTTTTTTATCTGAGCTTAACAAATCCTAAGTGCTGAACATAGTTAAATGCCAATGCAGAGACTGATAATGACCTCCCTGTTATGTGTTGTCTGTTCAAGGACTTGACTTTTCCACTTTCTTCTTCAGAAAAGTAGTGTCCATTTTTATCTGCTCTTACATATGGTCACACATCAGTAAACCTTGGTAGCTGTCACTAAAACATAATTTAGGTACACATCATTTTGTGCTTCCCTGATTCTGTCTTTGGACAGGATGGGTTTAACCTTTAGCAGTGCCCAGATGTGCAGAAGTCAGAGGATGTCAGCTCTTGTCCAACAAACCCTTCATGTCCCCCTGGCAAGATTTCCCATCTGACTGAAAGTTGCCATGAGGTAAAGAAGCCTGCGCCTCTAACCCCTCTCTTTCTTAATTTAGGATGGGGGAAAGAAGCAGTCCCTCACATCTGTTGGAAAAGGAGCCTGCTGGGTTACTACTCAATGAGTAAATTCAACATTTGATGTCAGAGTACAGTATCACTGAAAAAGCAGTCCCTAAAATTATTATGTTCCCAGTAGGTTTACTAATCAGCAATACAAAATCAAGGAGTTTCCCACATCCTAGGCTGAATTAACAGCTATGTCTGAAGTGAGTCAGGCTGCAGCTTCAATTTCTGGGTCTCTGCAGAGCAATAGTTAACTTTGTGTTGCCATTAGGGCTACGGCATCGCTTGGTCGCAGCAGCGTTAGGACTGCATATTAGTATGTCCAGTGTGTATTTGAGATTGTTCCCCAGAGCGTGTTTCTGAATACTTTATCCAGCCTCTATGTGCAGGAGCAGAAAAAGAATTGATATATAAACATTAAAATGCAATGCAATAGCTGGAGAAAATCAAACAGAGCTGACAGGGCGATTCATCTTTCTGTCAATCAACTCAAGTTCTAGTGGGTTATTGGGGTTTTTTTTCCTCAAACTTATATTGCCTTTAAAGAAGTGAAGACCTGAAAAATACTGTATATTGTATTATCTCTTTCTGTGAAGTATGAAAATATAGAAGATGGTATCTTCATATCTATTAGGTCTTAAGGCTTTGGTGAACAGTGCCAATAAGATACGTGCGTTAACCTACGTGTATTCTCTTGGCCCACGTTAATTTTCTTTGGTTGTAAAATTGCTGTTTTATTGCTTTCTGTATTCAGGAGATATAGACAGGAAGGCTCCAAATGACTTTTATATGGTGCATGTCTCTCTTTCTGTCACTCTGAAAAACATGGGATAGCATTCATTTCTTTTATTTCCCTTGAAGAAGTGAAGAACAAATTGCAATACTTGAAACATAAACTCTGGAGGGCATCAAGTTAATCTTACAGTTGTGAACCGCTTAAGTGAAAATGTATCAAGACTTAAAATTCATTTACTATTTAAAAAAAAGGCTTTTGGAAATGCTGCTGCACAGACAAATTAACGTGTTTGTTTTTACTTTGTAACTGTAGTACATTTACTCCTAAAATGCAAGGCAGACGGATGGGGACTTCAGGGAGAATCACGAAGAGCACAAGCGTGAGCGGCGAGATCTACAAGCTGGAGCACAACGACGGGAGCCAGTCGGACACGGCCGTCGGCATGGTGGGGACAGGTGGGAAGAAAAGGCGCTCCAGCCTTAGTGCCAAGGTGGTGGCCATTGTGTCTCGGAGGAGCAGAAGCACATCTCAGCTCAGCCAGACAGGTGAGTGGGACACAGGACTCTCGCCAGATGTGGGTTACCATTATTTCATCTGTGGCATCTGTGTTACGTGTATATGCACCTAAACCGCTCGGGAAAGAAGGCTTTGCCAGCTGTGAATAAATCTCTTGAGATATTACTTTTCTTTCAGCATCAGGCGTCTGCAAGAAACAATACACACATGCCTTTTAGAATATGTACTGTAACAACTTTCTGTCCTGAGCAATGAGAAATGTTTGTATCTCTTCGATGCCTTGTTTACAGGTAGGCAAGGAAATACAAGGAGACGTATGTGGGTATCAGCAATGGGTAACGGTTTGGCTGAGAGCAGCTTTTTATGTACAGGAAATTCCTTTTAGCAGAAGAGTTGAGTATGAATGGGGGAGTTGAAACCTGAGCAAATGAATGGCAGTTGTGTAACTTGCATAAAAGGTTGTACCTGTCGTGGCAAAAAATATGTTTTATAAAACCACCTTTGATATCTTAGTCAAGAGTAAATTATATTTTCTTCTTTAAAAACACCGCTGGCAAATTGGGGTCAGTGAATTCAGATAAATTATGCGACAGCGTGGTGCTTCGTTAGGAGCATAAGACTTTCAGCTCCTTATTGCTACTTCAGAAATCCTAAAAGCTTCGTATCTGCATAGCCTGAAGGAACAAAAGCTCATATAGAAAGATATAAAAGAAAAAAATATGTTTTAAAGTCCCAGTCCTGCTTCTATTGAGCCCCAGTGAAGACTTCTGCTCTTGTCTTCAGTGGGAGCAGGACCTGACCCTAAGGGCTCTTTCTTACTAAAAGAAGGAAAAGAGGAAACACTTCAGTCTAACATAGAGTGTGCATACTGCAGCACTCCTCACATAGGGTAATCCAAGCTAAGGTAAGTAACAATATTGCTTATTTCTGTCATCAAATATCTCACCCTTTTCCCTTGGTTTTTATTGCCAGGTGAGCAGTAGAAGTGACTCTTTCAGAATGGAAAGGTTGGTCAGCTTTAACAACAAGATTGTAATACTTTTCTACACTATTCATTGATGAATTTTAACCCAGAAAAGATATAATCATGCGGTTGGACCAAATGATAGATGTAGTAGACATATTTGAAGCCTAGAATTGTAATTAATATTGTGTTGCTCAAAAATGCACTCTACCTGAATGTTAGACTAGGATATAGATAGTAGCATACAGTAAGATGTTTATTTTGGATGCATTAGAATCACTGAGTCATCTTAGTTAATAAAAAGTGTATTATAAAATGGATTTTAGGGTGATGACTACTCCACTTATTAAAGAACGAAATATTTTAACTATTTTACAGAATTTTTTGTGGTTTGATCTGGTGTTCCTTTCTAGCTCCCAAATCTCACTGAAATAGGAATTGCTGCGACAGAGCAAATCTTGGCTCCGTCTTACTCCATAGTCCAGCTCTGACCTGGAACCAGGGCTGTATGAGTAAGAGGAAGGCGCAGGAGGCTACCAAATTTAGGATCATTTCCCTTTCTTGCTCTTACTTCTCAGTGGAGTTAGTAATTGACTTGAAATCTAAACTGTGACTTCCAGACACTTTTTAGCATTATCTAAAGCTCAGATGCTCCCGTTCTTGGGAGCATTTACTTGGTGTAGTTTTCAAAACAATACGAATTTTGCAAGGAAGGGAGCACCTAAGGTTATAACGAAACTCAAACATGAATCAAATCAAATATGAAAAGTACAATTATGTATTATTCATTATTTTAAAACAGAGCTGAGCATGATATTTACTTTGCCTTACTGTGGCGCAGGCACGCAGAACTATCTGTGGTGTAAGCAGAGCAATGAAAAGGGGTGTGTTTTCTCAGTCACTTTTCAGTAAAATTGTCAGAAATCAGTGAGTTGAATTCATGCATTTTTAGAAATACAGACATATGAATGATATATATGAGACTTGATAGGTTTTCCAAAGCAAATCCAAAGTTGGAGACTAAATGCTCATGCCCTTAAGAAGATACACACTTGCCTTCCTTCCTATAGTGTACAGGAGGGGAGGAGACATCTAAAAATATCTAATTCACCATAATGTGCTGTGTCTAAGTAACTTAATATTGTCTCCACTATTCAGAACGATAATAATTTAAAAAATAGTTTGACAATATGATATAAACTAGGTTTTTAAAACTGATTATGTGAAAATCTAATAGCCAAATTCTGAATTTCTAAAATTGGTGTGGAAGTGTTTGGGCTTCCAACGAAAGTGGTGCTGGGTATGAACTTCTGCTACAGATCTTCGATAACTGGAGGTGTGCTGTTGACACAGAGCCTGTATTTTAAAGGTAGTATAGAAAATACAGAAATATATGTGTAGCCTCCATGGTTTTTCCTGAATTGATCAGTGTACAATTTATTTTTCCTATGACTTGCATGGTTGTAAGCCACATACGCATCACTTACATAGTTATTTGTTTCTGAAAACTCAGAATAGAAGACCAGGAATAAAACAAAAAGTCAGGTATTTATTGAAAATTGGAGGGTCCATATTTTTGTGGAACGTGTCGATCTGAAATTCGTCTTTACTACTGTCTTCAAAACCATGGAAGTTCACTTTAATCTTGCTTTGTTTCATCTGAAGGAATGGTCAATAAGGGCTGCATTTGACTTTTTGTAGATAATTCTTGCTGTTAGCATACTGCATAGGCTTAATTTATGTAAAAATAATGGTGTGTATGAAACTGCTACTAGGTAGCTATTATTTCTAAGAGGAGATTTGCTTTTTAGTTGGAAACGGAGGGTGTGTGTGAGGCTGTGCATGCATGTGTGTGTCTGTAATACCCACATGGACCTCTTTGCTTATATGGGGTAGATCCACTTGCATCTTAGGTTTAGAAGGACCAGTAATCACTTTATTTTGTGCACCCTTCTTCAGTGCTGTTGGAAAAATATTTATTCTGAATACGTGCCTTATGAGACTGTCAGTGAAAAAATCAGGTTTTATTTTTATTTAAATCTGCAAGGAAAAGTGTGTATTTCTGCTGCCCCTTCCTTTCGGTCATGTTTGAGAATTCATAACGCTTTTAGTAACTGTTCATTGAAATAACAAAATCCTTACTACTACGGTTTGTTCATGTGCCCACACATTGGATAGATTTTATATTTCATCACAAAACGCTTGCAATCTGCTGGCAGTGCTCCTAAAGGAAATCCAGCCCTGCTTACGCTGTCACAGTTAAAAAGAAGAAAAGGAAAAGGAAAACAAAAAAGAAGGAAAACCCAGAAAGACCACAGAAGAATGAAAGTAGCACCAGGCATATTATATACCATTTTAGTTAAACTATAACTTTTCTAGCTTTGTTTGGCAGCCTGATTTTTCTAAGTGTATATATATTATATATATATAAAATATATATA